GCTGCACGGACACACGGAGGGGCAGAGCCGGCGGTCTCGGTTAGTGGCGTCTCGTCCGAGGCCGTGCGTGGCCGCGCAGTCATCCGCTGCCTCGGGATCCTGGCGGAGCCGGGAGAGACAGGAAACGCCAGCGCTGCTGGGGGGGGTGGTTAGGGCCACCAGTGGGGCTCCGTCCCCTCTGCCGGCTCAGAGAGCCGAATCCGTCTTCCGGAAGACGGCAGAATGAGTCCTTGAGCCCCCTCCGGGAGCAGCACCCCTCCCTCCCCCTTCACAAGCACACACACACTCCCGTCCCTCCCCAGATCCGGGGGAGAGTGGGACATGCGCCGCGGAGTCGGAGCCTTTTAATCGTCTCCATCCGGCCCCTGATGAATTTGATTTAATTATCGTCAGATTAGACGCCCTCTCTTTCTGCCTTCGCCGGGGCGCTAAGCGCGCTGTAATCTCTTTTTTTTGGGTATTGAAGCCCTGCCAAGCGATGCGTTTTTCCCCGCCGTTCGAGCGTAACGCCGATGACACCGGTTAAACGAGAATCATGGTCTGGGGTTGCAGAGACCAGAGAGAAGCAGGGAGCTGTACATTGATTGAAAAGTGCGTAGGGTAGTCTGAGCCGTTAATTAAAAAGAAGTCCCATGTAGCACAGGAACCGTGTTTAAAAGTGAAAGAAGTATTAATGTTTAAGAACAAAATCAGTAAACCAGAACCCACAGCAGCAGCAAATGAATTTGTCCTGGTACCCCGAGTGGCCCGTTCCGTGTTTATCATTGCGAAATGCTTCGCGAGGAAGTTGCACATGGAGAATGGAGCAAGAGCAGCGAAGAAACGGGAGGAAATTGGAAAAGAAAAGTCCAAGGCTCCTGGCCTGGAGGTTGCCAGTTCTACGTCAGGGCTGTGTCACTCGCGGGCGCGGTTGGCGTGAGGCTCACCAGCGGGAGGAGTTGGCGCGAGGGAGCCGAGCTCCCTGGAAAGAGGGTAGGAAGGCCTGCAGCAGGGCTCCTCGTGCTACTGGGCGCACTGTGCGAGGACAGCTACTCTCGGGAGCTCTGCCCTTGTAGTTTGTACTGCTCGCCACCAGTAATCGCCAACATTTTTCATCCTTTTCTTTCTCGCCGGCAGTATCGCTGACAGTACCGTTTTGTGCCCGTTCAGGGTTTTTTTTGGGGGGGACTGGGAAAAAACAGAGGGTTTGCAGATTTTTCTGCTTGGGCCTCGGTGGTTGAGTGGAAGAAACGGACGTGGCTGCAGCGCTCGGCGAGAACAGCGTGCGGGCCGGCGCGCCCAGGGAGGGCAGTCGGTCCTCCGGCGGGCACTCCAGCTGCCCTGCTGCCTGCTTGGATGGAAAGCTTGGCTGTACTGGGCCAGGGCGGGTGTGGTCTCTCCTCCTGAGCTGACTGGTGCTGTGGACAGCAGCAGCGGTTATTAGGGCTGAGCAGTTCAGGAAATCACAGGGGTGAGTGGAGAGGAAAGTAGTAAGTCGTCGGTTAAAAAGAAGAGGGTGTCTTTAGAGACGCCCCCTGCCAGCCCAGGGGTGAAATGAATGTGCTGCTGCAACTAAAACCTCAAATTAAGGACTAATTTATACCGGTGCGCGTTTAAGTTTTGCTCTCGGTACTGAAACCGATGTTGCAGTGGCGCTTTCTAGTGTGGCTTTTAGAGTTAAGCTCTCTGTAACTGGGGCAGCTTTGGAAAAAAAAAGGGTGTTTGGCTAACATGGGTGACAGCAGCCAGAGCTGAGGCCAGTGACTGGGCCCAGTGTGGACTCAGACCAACCCTGATCTTAAACCCCGATGCCCCCGGGAGCTGGGGAGGACTTCCTGTAAGGCCCCAAGGCCCAGTGCCTGTTTCAAGCAGCATGCTGTTAGCGGTCTGTGCTGTTACAGTACATCCCTCTCTCTCCACCCGGCTGTGGAAGGTGCACCTCCCAGCAGCTGGGCCTTGCGGTGATGATAACTCCGCCGCAGAAGAAATGAGTCTGTCTGCAGGGGCAGCATAGCATTTGCTTCCCATATGGAAGCTACAGTATATATGTATATTTGCCCAGTTTTATGCAGTGGTGGGTCTGCTGAAGACGCAGCTGTGGGGGCACTGCAGAAGCACGAGATCCAGAAGTAGAACAGCCCCCGAGGTCCTGAGCCACAGCTTTTTCCCCGTTTCAGAAAACTTTAACTAGGTTACTGTGCTGTGCATTCCTGGATACGCATTTTATTTAAAAGAAAAAAAAAAGTGCAACTTTTTAAATCTGCTGATAAATATGCGCCTTAATCTAATCATCCTCCGGGATTTTTCCCCCTTCCTTCGCTTTGTGGTTTTTTTTGTGTTAATGCCGCGAGGGAGCACCTGGAGGCTTTGTGCTTGTTTGTCTCCTGGTTGGTCGGCCCGGCCAGCCTCGTCATGCTGTCGCTCCGGGGAGGCCCTCGCAGGGGGCTCGGTTTAGGAAGAAAGAGATGGAAAGAATGGGGAGCAGGGAGCCTCCGAGCCGGGCCTGCATCCCGTTCTCCCTCTGTGCTTTCCCTGTTGGCGAGAGCCGAGCCGGCCTGAGTTGACCTGCTCGGGTCACAGAGAGGGACACCCCAGCCTCTCCCAGCCTCAGGGGCACACGTTTCTTGTTCTTGCTTCTCGCCGGAGACAGGAAGCCGGGGAATAGGCATGCTGGAGCTGTGCAGAAGAATACCGGGATTGTGTGGCTCTTTCTCTCTCCTTGAACAGGCTCAGCATGTGCGCCTGGTTTTGTGTGGCTGTGCTGAACAGCCCCTTGTCTGTCTGCGTTACGCCCCAGGCGGCTCGGTCATCCCTCAGGAATCTCGCAGTCTTGTCCTCGGTGGGCTGGATTCTCCCCCTTTCCGCCCTCAGTCTCCCGCTGCAGCACTGACGCCTGCAGACATCGCTGTGCTGGCAGCTGTGTCGTTAATTACCTGCAGGAGCACATCTGGCGGACGGAAGTGTTTCCTTCTGTCACAGACGATCGTCCAGCAAGAGCAAAAGCGATTTTTTGCGGGAGAAAACAGTGACAATGGGAGCTCTGGTTAATGCGGTACAGCAGACGAATTGTGCCCAGGTGGGAGAGGTACTTGTCCAGGCTGCAGACCCCTCCTCAGCAGGTGTCCAAAGCTCCATAACTTGCCTTGTGTCCCTCTGGTTTGTCCCTCGACGAAGATAGAAGTCAGCGTCACCACTCCGTTGAAAATAAACATGCAAATGTGAAAAAATAATGTGGATTCAAGACTGTAGATCAGGTTCAGGGTTTTTGTTATGTGTGGTTTGCCGATAGCCGGCAAGGTAGCGAGGCAGTTAGTGCTCCGACTACATAGGTCCCGGTACCCAGGCTTTGAGTCCAGCCTCAGGCATGTGTGTGGAGCCCCCTAAGGTTTCTTTCCTGGCTTCCAAAGAATTTTGGCTTGGTTTAAGGGGACAATCCCAGATTTTCTCTTTCTCGCTGCCTCGTGTGAACATAGTCATGAGCACTCAGTCCCTCCTTGTGTCCTGTGTGCCATGATAAGCAACTTCCTGAACATGGACTCATCCCGTGTTGACCACAAAAAGAGTACATTAAAATAAGAAACCTGTCTGGCTGATTTTCATACTTATTTTAATTTACTTAAAACTGAAACCTCCCACTCCTGAGAGGAGCTGAAGTATGGACTGACCTTTAAGTCAGGAATAGCAGGCACTGAAGTTTCATTGTCTTGCAGTTAAGAATGTTTATAACTGAACTTGATTAGTGGAGGTGTTTGATATCAGCATGATCTGTTGTTTCCGAGGACCATGGTTAAGAGCAGTTTCTGAGTGGTTGTCATCTCTTTGTCCAGTACACCATACTTCATGGAAGATTCATCTGTTCTTCGATTTCTTGTGTTTTCAGTTTAATACATTCTTAACTTCTCGTTTGATCACAGATTTATGGAATGGACTTAATATTTTTTTGCAATTTTAAGGCACAGAGTCTCTGGGAGTGGACCTGTATTGAGGGTGTGTTGTTCATGGGTGGTTTTGATAATTAATTGATTCTTATTACTTTTATAATATACTGTCAGTTTTTCCTGCCTCTGCAGCCTAGCGATAGTTCTTGTAGCTCTCCCTGAACAGCAGTGAATGACTATAAATCATTTCAGGTCTAATGTGTCCCTTGTTGGTCATGCTTGGTAAGTAACTGTCTCAAAAGTACAATAAGGACCATAAAATGATTTTATTATATTGCTATAAATGTTTTTTTCTTCCACTTTTTTTCTGCATGGTTAATTCTGCTTGAGTACAAAGGCCCGTGTTTGAATTCCTTCTGAAGCTTGCTTAATAATTGTAATTTTATTTTTTTGTGGGGTTATAGAGTTGAGATTCTGCATTTTTATAATCTCTTTGCAGTGTTTCTGTTTGACAAATACATGCTGTTGAACTACTGCAGCACAGGTACTTCCATGTAGGCATTTTTTCCACCCAAGATCACACTTTAACCTTTTGATTTTAAAGTTGTTTTTATATACGTATTGAATGATTTTTAAGGAATTATAAGTAAATGGTGGACGGTGTCTTCTTTATGTGTGAATTCCTGCTTAAGTTGTCATCTAGAATGGCACCTGCCCCATAGTACGAAAATCTTTAAATCATGAAACCTGAAATCTCCCATCCATCCATTCTCGAGTTCTTCCAGTTGAGGGTTGTGGGGGAGCCAGAGTCTATCCCAGCATGCAACCTGTGCAACACCAGTCCATTGCAGGACACACACACACACACTCACACCAGTTTTCCAAAAAGCCAGTTAACCTGCCAGCATGTCTTTGGACTGCCGGAGGAAACCCAGGGAGAACATGCAGACTCCACACAGATGGTACCCCAGGCACACAATTGAACCCAGGACCACAGCACTGTGAGGCAGCCACGCTAACAGCTGCACCACCGTGCCTCGCTGTGAATCAAGTGCCTGTTTGAGTGCCTATACAGACAGCCCAGCTCTGGAATTACAGCGCTAAAACTCTGCGCCCTTGTTCTGTGCTCTGGTCTCTGTGCAGAACCGCGGGCGCCTGGCGGAGAAACGGACGATCCCCCTCCCCCCTACGCGCATCCCCAAGAAGGAGCTCGCCTCCCTGTTCAGCAGCGACGACAGCGAGGAGTGCGAGCAGGCCCATGGTGAGCGCGCCGACATAAAGCAGGAAGACGACCTCCACGTCAGTATAATGAAAAAGAGGTGAGCCCCCGGCGTCAGGAGGGTCTGCCCCCGGCCCCACGACCAAGTCCGGGACGAGGCCCTTTGCTCAGTTCGCGTCTCGTCTATTTTTATCGCCGTGTCAAAGCCGCGCTGCTCTTTTTCCGTCTCAGGTGGTGTCAAATGAACGGGGGGAAGAAAAACACAGCTCTGAAGTCTAAATGAGGTTTTTGCTTGTCAGACTTTCACTGCCTCGTTAAAAAAGAGGTCCAGGGTATTTCTGGAGTCTCTGGCGCAGAGATGCTACAGCGCTTGCACGTTGCAATAGGAGTCACGATGCGTGAATAACAGAACGCGCTTGACGGAGTGGGGGGGAGATGGCACCGATGTGAGCGAGGAGCCCCTTTGATCTGCTTCCTCTTAAACTCCCGTTCACCTCCGGTTTCTTCTTCAGAGTTTGGTGGCGCGGCTGGACACCGCCAGCTGTCAAAAGAGTACCGAACAGAGTCACATGCTGCTGGTTTAAACTGCTGTATCTGTGTTGTTGTTAAAGGCCGGGGTTAAAAAAAGAAAGCCATTTTAACACTTTTAAAACACAAGATGCACAAATATTTTAAAAGCACTAGCTGGTGATTCCACTATGCAGCCTGGAGCAGGAAGGCAAGCACAGCTGTTTCAGCACAAGGAGCACATTGTTTTGCATGGTTCTCTCTACCTCTCAGCTTTTAAGGAGAGGCAGTTTTGGCCTGCTGCTTGTTTCTATTCTTAGCACATATGAAGGTGCATTTCCTGTTTCCTATATATGCAGTTCGCTGTTCACTTTGATATGCCGAGCATGGCATAGTGTTCCCCAGGCAGAAAGAAGGGAAGTAAGGGGAAAAGAATATATTCAGTTCTGTTCTGACAGGAAGGGTGTAACACCTTATTGGTTCCCCTGTACTCTTCCTGGCAATTTCTTTGCAGGACCAGTTGTTTGAACGCAGCACATAGCAATCTAAAGAAGAGTGCCAAAGCCAAGGCCGAGCTCGTTCTGAACTTTGCAGGAAGTGGGACACAAAGTGGGACGTTTAGGTACAGGGGGCGCAAAGCAGCTCTTCGGAGTAGCTGCATTGCTACTGGCAGTCCAGACATACCAGAGCTTCTGAGAAAGCCACCAACCTGTAATTTACCAGAGGGCCACCAGTGATGGTGTGCACTTCTTTCGCAGAACTGTAGGCTCAGTGTGTCATTGAATTACTCACAGCCAGTCAAGCTGATGCATTTCTCGTAAAGATGACAGAGAGCCGAAGGCTTCAGAGGCGACAGAGGATAGTCTCTCTGTGCTCAAGTAAAAACACATGACTGAAATGTGAAATAATTGCTACAGTTATTGCTTATTATTTTAAAGCAAATTAATTTAAATTAATGTATTCGATTCCTATAATTGTCATTAACTACTTGGAAGTAGGAGTCTGACTCAGTCAAAACAAAGGTGTAAAAAACGAAATTCAGAATTCTGCCAATTCATTTCAGGCGCTCGTGGTTTTGTTCTCTTTAAGAGGGATCTTTTGGTGTGTGGGTTTCGCCTACATCTCTTCTGAGTATTTAAACATAACCCTGTCTGTTCCTGACACGGACAGCGCTCCGCCTAATCGCTGGAGAAGGAAAACATTTCAGTTACCCTTCCAGTAACCCTGGTAGAGTTTGTGATTAAAGACATTTGTTTGTTTAAAAATGGAAAGAAACAGTATGCATTCATGTTGTATGACAGACTGAACATTTAATTCCACAAGGAATCTCCTTCTCTTTTTTTCTCCTTTACCTAAGTGGTGTTCCCCATTGATTTCAGTTTGGGATTCCCTGATTCTTTAGAAGCTAAACAACAAGAGCTCATTGTGCGCTTCTGACAAATCGCCATGTGGCTCCTCTAGGCCTTTGCAGGCTGGTTCACTGTTGATAGCTCCACCACAATATAGGACGTGGGCGTTGTTGACTTTTTGATTGACATTTAAGACCAGAAACCTTTCCTCGATTTTCAAGACTGGTAATCAGAGGAGTAGTAATAATGAAACAAAAAACATGCAGCCACAGCCAGAAATGTAATGTCAAATAAGGCCCAGTAAATCAAGCCTGGTTGCTGCAGAAGATCTGGGTGTGACAGCATGAGAGATGGCCGTAGCCCGCCTTTTTGAGTGCACACATCGGGCAGTGATGGGGAGATTGTTAAGGTGCTCAAAGGGGAGAAAAAACAACACAGCCTGCTAACCAGCCAGAAAGCCACTGCCGGCCGTGCTCTGGCTCGCCGAGCCCTGCGAACACGAAAGGGAAGCCCCCCATTTCAGAGAGCCTCTCTCCTCTCCTGCGGGGGGGTGCTCACCCGCCAGTTTGTGCAGACTCCTGAAAATGACTTCTAGGATATGGTAATGAGCGTTTAATTAGATTTATCTGCATGATTCGAAGCCCTCAGCTTCGGGTCCTGCGTGCGCTGCATACGCCGGAGCTGGTGAGAGTCCCGTGGAAAAGACCAGTTTGATCACTAATTGACAAACACTCCAGACGCTGGAGGGAACACACACGAGGCCACGGAGGGGATCGCCACTCTCTCCCTGTTCTCTGCACTTACTTCATGCAGTTGTCTCCCCCTCGTTTCCTCTTCCCTCTCTCAAGCGGTCCGCAACGTACGCAGTGTGGTTTTGTGGTGGTGTGCGCTTCATGGATAACAGCCAAGCCAATCCCCCGGGATAAATTCATCCACTGGGGGGGAAAAACAAGGTTGTATGTGGCTGGGCTGTGGCCCTTCCACATTTAATGAAAAAGAGAAAGACGGGCTTAGCGCTGGCCTTTATTTTTTCGTTTGTATTCCTTTCCGTCTTATATAAGACGGGCTGCAGGCCAGCCGAAAGGTTTTTTCCCCCGCTTCCTGCGGGAGCAGTCCCGCGCTGGGGGGGTCGGACAGCCTGTCAGCGCTGTCGGTGCTCTGATCTTCCTGTGCAGGTGGGCGTCCCGGTGACGGGGTGAGCCCAGGGATTGCATTGCTCGCCAGGCGCACACCCAGGACAATTAACGGCGTATGTTGAACATTGGATAGCTGCAGCGGATAGACGGGATTAAGGCATCTGAAAGTGTGTGACCTTCTCTTCCAAAACCAGACTGGGGTTTAATTTATCGATTTCTCGGGAGAGGTTTAAAGGAGTGCTAGCCAACATTTGCGTGTTGCTGCTGGGTTTATTTGTTCCGTACTTTTGCAGAAATGGCCTTAAAGAAAGTCAGGGTGCATTCAGGACATCTGTGCCACAGTCAACTCCCCCCCCCCTTGGTTTAGAAGAGCTGGGGTTTGGGAGAGATGTTGTGTAGCGTTGGGTACGATCTGTGTCGTAGAGTTGATGTATGTATGCATGCTGGATGCAGGCCAGGACCACAGGAAGCCTCACTTGATTTAATGAGGATTGTGTGTCGGTCGGAAAGGGAAATAGCTACTTACTCGTTAGCAGTAGCACAAGATTAAGATGACAAACACCATCACAACAGGCTGTCTGTTTTCGGATCCAGCGCCTTGCAGACGTTTCAGTGCGAGTGGGAAGTCGGCTAATTGAGCAGATCTTTTCCTACACGTTGTTAAAATGGAAGACTGTGTTACTCATCAGCTGCTGAAGAGCATGGGGAAGAAAGACTTAACTAAATGCTGTCCAGAGCTCAAGGTTGTTGTTTTTTATCATTGTCTGCCCAGCCTCTGTCCCATTTAAGTGTCAGATTTCCAGCAAGGAGATATGTGCTGGTGGCTCTTGTTATCTTTCTTCTAATTTGATATTTAACAAGAGTTTTCTTTCCAAAAGTACAATTAGCGAATAAACAGGATATTTCTTCAGTCTTTCAAGCTAGAAATTCTGTATATGGAGTGGAGTTGTCTCTGTACAGCACATCTGAGTTGTCTTTGATAAGGGCTATTGTTTTTATCCTTCATTTATTTGCACATGTATAGTAAAATATTTAATTGCAGGTATTTCAAGTTGACTCACAACTACATAACAGTGATGAATCTGCACCAGAATAAATGTAATACTTTAAAGGGATTTTAAAACACTCTGGGGTTTTGCTTAACATAGCAGTGCTTGTCCTGGATAGCAATCAGCTTTGTCAACTAATGAAAGGAAGCCTGCCTGCCTGTCAGCGTGTCGTCTTTCCTGTTTTAAAACTTAAGGAAGCCGTCAACCTTAAACGCAGACATTTCAATCCGAGTGTAACACGTTCGAAAGGAGTTTTATAGATCGAGCTGGTAGAATGAATCTGCTTTTAAGCTGTTACTGAGTTCACCTTTAGTGTCCCCTGTATACAGTGTGTAGTTTGCCAAATGGAAAATGCATAAATCAGTAAGCTGTTGTGTAGTTAAAACTGAGGCAATCTTGGCTGTTCCAGCGATTTTTAAAAACTTCGTTGTAGACCTGGGTGTCTGGACAAGAGTGCTTTTCAAATCCTTTTGCATGAGAGCAAGTTATGCGCTTGATTTTCTGAACCTAAGCTTTGGATGTTTCAAGACGCAAAGTAATCCAACGACACACTGTAAGTATAGAAGAGAGGAATAAAAGTTGTTTCTCTCATTCAGACATGTGTTTTTGGAATTTTATCAGCGGTTGCGTGAATTTGGAGCATTTTTTTCCTGGGAACTAAATGCATTAAGTTGTTTTACTTGAATCTAAAGATACAAAACTATTTTACTGGCTTTCTAAGTAAAGAAAATAATGTTTATACAACTGTTACATTTTTAAACATCTGTTGTTTATCTTGCATGTAGTAAATCTTTTATTCAACATGATGTAAAACTGTTCAGATATTAATTAATGTAGTAATTAGTTGCAGAAACGGTATTCTGTCCCATAAGGGTTAGTACAAGGTCAGTTGGCTTCCAGTCTGCTAATGATTTAAAACTTAGCCATTTCACTTTCACGTTATAGTTTTGCGTTTAAGTATTACAAATTTAAACATTGTTTTTTTTTCCCACCTAGCTTTCACCCTGTTCCCAATCAAAACAAAGCTACAAGAACTAAAAACAAATTAATAGTGGATAT